TGGCTCTGCCCGCGGCCGGCAGCCCCCGGCCCGCGCCCCCGGCAGCGCGGGGAGCCCATGCTCTGCCCCGCCTCGCCGCTCCGGGCCCCCGCGCCGCCGCGCCGATGCCGTTCTCGGGCGAGGAGCGGAGCCTGCAGGGGATCTACAAACCGGCGGGGCCGGCGGACGGGCGGCCGGTGTGCTCCGAGTGCTACACCAACCGCTCCTTCGTCTACGACGATGGCAGCGCCCACAGGTACCGGGGCTGGGGGGTCCCGGGGCTGCCGTCGTGGGGAGCAGCGGGGCCGCCGGAGCGCGGAGCTCCCGGTGCGGCCGGAGGAGCCCCTTCCCCTCCCGGTGCGGCCGGAGGAGCCCGTTCCCCTCCCGGTGCGGCCGGAGGAGCCCGTTCCCCTCCCGGTGCGGCCGGAGGAGCCCGTTCCCCTCTCGGGCAGGCGGGGCGGCCGGCAGGACCCCCGTCCCCATCGCCGCCGCTCTCCCCGTGCCCCGAGGCTGCAGGAAAGTTTCTGCGGCACTCGGGTCCCTGCGGATGCCTCGGTGGGATCAGCGCCTCGGGAAAGGGGCAGTCGGGAGCTGCCTGGGGAGGGGGAAGGGGCGCTTGGAGACCCCCCGCCCACAGGTACCGGGGCTGGGGGGTCCCGGGGCTGCCGTCGTGGGGAGCAGCGGGGCCGCCGGAGCGCGGAGCTCCCGGTGCGGCCGGAGGAGCCCGTTCCCCTCCCGGTGCGGCCGGAGGAGCCCGTTCCCCTCTCGGGCAGGCGGGGCGGCCGGCAGGACCCCCGTCCCCATCGCCGCCGCTCTCCCCGTGCCCCGAGGCTGCAGGAAAGTTTCTGCGGCACTCGGGTCCCTGCGGATGCCTCGGTGGGATCAGCGCCTCGGGAAAGGGGCAGTCGGGAGCTGCCTGGGGAGGGGGAAGGGGCGCTTGGAGACCCCCGAGCGGTCCCACCCTTCATGGGAAGAAGGTCCTGATCCCTCTGACCGAGGCTGTGCTCGGCTGAGCCACGGAGCCACCCCAAAGCCAAGGGGCTGAAACACACCCAGGAAAAGGCTGCGTTCCCGCAGGTGCTGCCCGGCCCCTGCTCCATTTCTGGGCTGGTTTTATGCCAAAGTTGCAATGTCCAGTGTGAGGGAGGGGAAGAGCTGCTTGAGACCAGGGGGACTCGGTGCCACCGTCCTCTTGTGCCAGGCAGCAGCACCTGTTTCTCACAAGTGGTGAAGTATCCCAGTTTTCCCTGAAAAATGCTGTGTGTTATCACTGTTCTGGTTAAATTTGCTAGTGTGGCTCTTCTGACTGTCACGCTCATCCAGTGCCAGTTGAAGTGTGCAGATGAGTCGTGTGTATCAACTCATGCTTGGCAGATAAGGACCTTAGCTGGGTTTGTGCCCTAGGCTGCCCAGCTGGGATTTTTTACCTCTTCATCTGCTCACCATGATTTAGGGAAATGATCTTTTATTACTAAAAATCTAAATGAAAAAAGAAGAAACAGTCTGTTCTTTAACTCTCAGTACATTGCCACTGAGGTGGGTAATTAATGAAATCCTTCAATATTGGTTTTTTTTAGGGTTAAGACTCTCATTATTACCTTCTCTCCATCAGTGACACGGCTCTGTGTGCCCCCAGGACCCCCGGTCTGGGTGACACCGTTTGGTTACTTTGGGCACAGCAGTGTGGCTGCAGAGCACAGTGCTTTCCCCAGCCCTCAAACTGCCTCCTTTTGCAGCTGTGCTTGATGTGTCTGCAGAAATGACACCCTTGAGGGGGTTGTTCTGTCTGTGAAGATCAGGGATCAGGTTGGAGGCAGCAGCTCCTGGACATTTCCAGCTCCAGCATTACGGGAACATGAGGAGTTACTCATTACTGACACCACAGCCCTGCTAGGGGTGATTTATCTCCACCTAATGCACTACAAAACCCTTGCGCAAAGATCCTCCTGCCTGTCTCTTTCAATCTGGATGGAGGAACTTTGTTTCCTAATTATTGCTCTGCAGCTCGATGTGTTTCTAACCCCCTCGGGCTCCGGAGAGGTTGAAATGCCATTGCTTTCCGAGGCTTGTCTTGCCTGCCCTTGTGCTCAGTCCTCTGCTGCCCTTCTGGAGATGTTAAACAAGCTGCCTGGAGCCCTCAGGACTCGGGCAGTTTCCCCAGCTCCAGCTCGGAGCAGACCAGTGTCTAATGCACTTTTTCAGAGCTGATCAGCTGAAGAAGCAGAAGAGGATTGCTACAGACAGGCTGAAGAGAACGGGCAGGAGCAGGCAATGAGCGCCATCAGAGCATCCCAGGGGGCCCCTGGCTGATCTCTTTGCTTTCCTCCTCTGCACCTTGGGCTGGGGGCACAAATCCTGTCACAAATGATCATCTATTTAACCACCTGCTGTCTCTCGGCCTCTGCCTGCTACAAGAGTTTCTCCCTCCCCTCCCATGGGTTTCTGCTCCTCTCCAGGTGCTGTGGGGTTTGTGCACAGCCCCGGGCAGGCCAGGGCTCAGCAGTCCAACACCATCTCCTTGTCTGCTCTCACTGCTTGCAGGTGTGGAGCTGTAGGTGTGATGGCAGAGCAGCAGAGCTGTCACCAGAGATGTGTGTGAGGGATGTGAGAGCCAGGGTAGAGCAGCAGAGACGCAGAACACATTTCACTGAACCTTCTGCTGAGTGCTCCAGGGACCTCAGCTGGGCTGACCCCCCTGAAATAAGTGGGAAACTCAATTATCCCTTCACTTAGCAAATCTAGAGCTGGCTTAAAAGCTGGTAAAGAGAATTTCTGTCTGCTTGGTTTCCTGAGTGTGGAGATGTGTGTGGAAATGTCTGTGAGCTTCCTCCTGGCCCTCTTCATAAGGGGGACAATGGTCCTGAAAGTCCCTCCCAGGTGGAAAGCAAAGAGTTAATTGTGAAAGCACTCGAGAGTTTGTTTGGAGAGTAAATACAGCATTTCTGGCACCCAGAGGGTACAAAGAGCCTAAATTTCGCTGTCCTACCTCGTGGGAAATCTGGATAAATGTTTGCACAAGGATCCAGAGTGTCACTTCGGGGAACTCAGGATTTCCTCCGGCCCGCGGCTGCGCTTCCTCCGCCTGCCCATGTAAGGGCACGGCGGGCACGAGTGATGGATGGGCAGCCAGATGGAAGGACTCACACAAAAATATCCTGCCCGAGGCAGGGGGCCAGCGGGAGAGGCAAGGATGGGCGGGAGGAGCTCGGATTTTCCGCCCATGGCTGCTCTGAGGAGAGGCTGGAGGGAGACGGGGCGACCTGGAGCAGCTGCGTGGGGAGCCGTGGCTTTGCCTTAGACGTACGTGGCTTTTTCATCTCTGCTCTTTTGGGGGGGTCTGTGTGGCTGCTGCTGTTTGTAGGCCGTGGGAGCAGGGGTTTGGGTGCCGTGCCAGGGGTTTGGGAGCGGGATGTGGAGGGGAGGTGGGTGCTGCAGTGCAGGTGGAAGAGAGGCAGAGCTCGGGGCTGGGCAGCAGCAGCCTGCTACACTCGGGATGCTCCTGTGGGATGTCAGCTCCAGGGGGCTGGGTTTGGCAGGGGCTGTGCTCAGTCCCACCTGGCTGGGACAGGGCTTTTGGCCCTAAAATTCACAGCAAGGTTTGGAGCAGTGGCAGCCAGGGCCCATAGGCACCTTCTGCCACTCTGGTCAAAGCCTGAGTCCAAGGGCAGGAGAAAAGAAAAAAAAGCACTGATTAAATGGGATTCTTGCTAAGTGTGAGCACTCATGCAGGTCCAGGATGGCTCTCCCATGGCTTCTCCTCCTCATCTCTCCATGAATCCAAGGAACTGTCTCAGTTTAGCACAAGGATGGTCCCTGCAGCTGACAGCCTGTTGTTGTCTCTTAAGTTTTCAATTTTCTGCAAATGGATGAGAAGCTGCTTCTTTGGCAGAGCTTGCACTGACCCACACTCTGTAGCTAATTAGTAATAACTTCCTCCAGGAGCGATTTCTAGCTTGGACATTTGTCAGCTTCCAGAAAGTCAGCCTTGTGGATTGCAACAACTGTTGCTTTGGCTGCCCATGGGCATCCGGGCCTTGCTGTTCCAGGAGAAATTGCAATGAGGAGCCATAAAACCGCAGGGCCAAACATCCTGTGTTTTCAGGGTGTTTATGCAGCAGAGCTAAGATGGAATTCTGCTCTTGTTTTCCTCAGATGGTTAGGAAAAGGAAGTGTGGGGCTCTGGACTGCTGCAGGGGAGCACCCAGCAGCACACCTGGCTCAGTGGGAAGAGGTTTTGGGACCCTTCCCCATTACTCTGTTCACAGAAGGACCCCAGTGTGCTGGAATCCTCCTCAGGAGCTGCCCTTGGGCTCTGGCATGGCCGTGTCACCCTTCACTGGAGAACAGCAAAGTAGGTCACTGCCTGTGCTCAGGGCTCTCTCTGCTCTGCAAAAATATTTACAGCATCCATTCGGATCCTCCCAGTCCTCCTGCAGCGCCCTCTCCCTGACCCCACGCCTGCTTCTCGAGTGCTGCACGCAATTTGTTTTGGAGCCTGTGAACGTTTCTCTTGCGTCCCTGCCAGGCTGGGCTGGAGTGGGGAACATCTCATTCATCCTTCTCGTGAATAAAGCCAGGCCAGGAGCCAGGAGAGCTCTGAGCACAGGTGTCCCTGGCCTGGTGTCCTCTGGCACTGACACAAACGGCAGGAGGGAAGGTTTAGGTGGGAGCTTGGGAAGGAATTCTTCCCTGAGAGGGTGGGGATGCACAGGGTGCCAGAGAAGCTGGGGCTGCCCCTGGATCCCTGGCAGTGCCCAAGGCCAGGCTGGGAGGGCTTGGAGCAGCCTGGGACAGTGGGAGGTGTCCCTGCCTGGGAATGAGATGGGATTTCGGGTCCTCCCGACCCAAACAATTGTGGGATTCTGTGGCAGGGATGGAGGGCAGGAGGAGCAGCCCTTCCCAGGGCTGCAGGTTGTGCCAGTGGCTGTGCCAGCCTGTGGATGCTTCCCTGGGCATTCACCCTCTCCCTCCTGAAGCCATTGGCACTTTGTGCTTCCAGGAGGGGACGGGAGCTCTGTGGTGCAGCTGCTCTGTGACAGAACACGCTGCTGCTCCTTTGAGCTGCTGCTTGTGATCTCCCTGAGCTCCTGCAGCTCCTGTTCTTGCTCCCTGGTCTGTCCTCTCTGCTCTTACCTGCTTTTCATCAAGTCTCTTTCCAGGCTGGAGACTCCTCCTGGTCTATTTGGCCTCACCTAGCATAAAAGACTTTGTAACCACAGTTACCTCTGGTGCCCCTCCGTGCTGCTTCAGCTCTGA